CCCCGCCTGGCGGGGCAAACCATCCCTGAAGGGCAAGTTACTTGCGCGCTGCCCCTTGAAACAGGACGATAGGTGTTGCTCAGAAACTCGCAGAGGAGGGTTCCCGCAGCGCACGGCCACCTGCTCAAGGACGAAGCTTTAAAACCTGGTTGCATCGTAGCTGCAGATTTCTCCATCATCTGCCCAGAGCTGCTGAGGAACAAAGATACAGGAGCAAAAATCCTGCATAAAGATGACTCTTGGATTCCTCCACCTCTCCAAGTACTCTGCCAAGAACAGAGAGAATTCGTGTAGCGGTACTGCCTCAAAACAACAGGCTTTGCTTTTCCCTTACCTGCTGGTCTACAGAGCTGCCCAGCATCCACAGACTACCTCGCTATCAATACAGGCTCTCTCCTCTCCTTGTGACTGGGGCATAAGTTCCCAGCTTCTTTGCTTTTACCAAAAAAAATGGTCCAAATCTGTAGACACACTTAGCTTATCCACCTGTAACAGCCTTCTAGCTCCAGGACAGACTAGCAGGATCTTCACGAGAGTAACACAGCAGCAGGCCCCTCCCTCCACATCAGCCAAACATCCAGCTTGTCACCGTCCAGTGTTATGGCAAAATGCAAAAGCTCTTTATTAAAAAACCAGAGCAAAACGCAATATGAAAAATCACAAAGACAAACCAACCAGTCCACACAGAAAGTTTCATTTTCCAGTTGCCTCTTAAAATATGTGCTGCAAGTTCACTCCTCCCACCACAGACTCACTGGAGAAACTAACAGGAGGCTCTCATACTGCTGTCCTGACAGAGGTCTCCACTTTCTCCGATTCAGACCCCCGCATCCCTTCCCTTTCTCCATGCCACATGAGGACTCGTGTTGCAAGGAAAAGGAAGCACCTTCTTCCCTTTGTGCTCCGAGAAGCAACTCCCCAGTGGTGAGTCAGAAGCATCGCTCCTCTCCAGGGTAAGGCCCAGAAAACAACACTCAGCTCCAGGATCCTGAGAAGCCAGCAGGACAGTTTTGCCATTTGTCATAGTGGAATGCAATCCTGTTGCATTTTGGACACAAGAACTCCAGCCAAGGGCTGCAGTTCACAGCGAGGAAGCACAGACGCTGACCCCCGACACCCCACCCTTTCCATGCCAGTCAGCGTTGTAGAGGCTTGAACCATGGCCAAAGCCCAGCTGTCCAACAAGGATATGGATAGCCACTGCACAGCAGTCCCCCTCTGCATAGCTGTTTCCATATATATTGAATGCATATCTAGTGCCCATCACTACGGCCAGAACAGCAGTCCCCCTCTGCATAGCTGTTTCCATATAATGCGTATCTAGTGCCCATCACTACGGCCAGAGCCACGGAGCGGCAGGGTAGAAGAGCCAAAGTGAGCCCTGTCAGCCGCTGCTTCCATCTGTAAGCACTGGGTATAAAAGCACAGGAGGGTAAGATCTGGTGTTTCCAGCAGCTTCGGGACCCCATGAGCAAAGTAAATGGCTCCCACCTACAGGGAACTGTAAACACTGCTGCCCGTCATTTATCAGGTTTCACTGTGAACAGCCCTGGCATCCAAACAAATGCTTCAGAATGACCGCTGCCCAGGGAACATACAACCCCCTGGTAACAACAGGGTGTGCCAACAGACTGGTGCTGTATAAAAGGACACAGAAATGACTTCAAATGCTGTAGCAGTGCAGGGGAAGGGCTCCGCATCGTGAACTCAGACCCACGAGCCTCTATCCCAGCCCTGGGCGGTTGTTTCCTCCTCTCCTTTATGCGGTCAGGAGCAAGATTTCTGAAGAGCTAGAGTGATTTTCTGTGTTTGCAAGCCTTCGTGTCACCCCACTGTGACAAAACTGTCCCACTTAGAAAGAAGGGGCTGTACCTGAGTTGCTCACCCTCTTCCTGACAGCAGGTATCTGGATTCTTTAAGCCATGCTCTCACTTCCTAGAACCGTGGGCTCCCAAGGGGGAGCCCTGCACATATGCCATGATGGCATTCTGCAAGAAACTTGCTCGCTGGGCCTCCTCTTCCCTCATCCTGGAGATGTCAGCCTCTTTCATTCTCAGCTTCTCCAGCAGCATAGAGATTTCACCTTCTTTGTCCAGCAGTGCCTCGCGGTGATTACTTGATAGGGCTGTGAAAGAAGAGCAGCATTAGTAAAGAAAATTAGGATGTCCCTAGAATAAACAGGAACAACACGTTATAGGCACAGCCAAAGGCAGTGGAAGCAGGATGATCAACAGGCACACGGGAGAAGCTGCATGAGACAATGTGAGAGGTTTTGCACAGACAAGATGTTACACTTCACTGTGCAGGAAATCCAAACATTTCGCTTGCTGTGCAGCTTTGGGTAGTTATCCGAGTCTTGGTCTCTCTAAAATGAGGACGAGAATCCCTGCAAATACATCAGGATGGAGGGTACGATTCATGGTCGTACGCACAGGCAGGAAGCACTGTTGTCACCACCTGTGAGCGTAGCTCGGTTCCAGGCCCACTGTAGGGTAACCCAGCATTACCATTTGAGAAGCATGAAAGGATCCATCACCTTTCAGCTGTCTCTCCAGGGCTGCAATCTTCTCTCTCAGCCCTTCCTGTGCTGTGCGTTCAGCCTGCAGGTGTCCAATCTGCTCCTGTAATTCCACCTTCACTTTATTCACCTCTGTCACTTTCTCCTCTTCTTTACTGTTCAGGTCCTGACACACAAAGACAAATCCATGAATAACCAAAGAACTTCAGCAACTTGTTCTGCCCCTGTGGTGACCATATCTCTACTCCAGGCCAAATTACCTGCTGAAGTTCCTCTAGCCGCCTTCTGAGTCCATCAGCATGCAGGCTCAACTGATTGGCTTTGGCCTGGGCCTCAGCAACCATTTGTTTTTGCTTAAGGCAGCAGTTCTGAGCTTCATCCCGTGACTCAGTCATCAGCCGCAGCTTCTCTTCTAGGTGTTCTAGTCGTTGCTGCTGTAAGACACAAAGGAAAATGAAAATACATGAGTCCCATTCCATTCCTGCGAAGGGATTCTCCCCTTTTTGTTCCCAACACAGTGAACCTTTGGTCGAGTCAATTGGCACTGAAGAACAAGCACAGGACTTAGCCATAATAGATAGGGCACTTGCATTCAGGAGTGAATCTAAGCTGCTTTCTGTCGCCAGGGAAAACATTCTGATGGAGGTGCTGCAGAGCTGAGCTCACTCACTGAGAAACAGAGGCACGCCCTTGGTAGAAACACCAATGCCACTGTTTACAATTAATGCTCTATCTTTACTTCCTCCATCTCCCAAATGGCTCTGAAACACTGTTGTATGCAGCTAAGCCACTGCTGTGTCCCACCACACACGGCGGCTTTTATATGTTTCTCTGAGTCCAGAGAAACAGGAGCAGCCCATGAAAGCTGCTGTTAAACAGAAGGATTGACACCTGGCTGTTAGCTTCAAAAGTTAGAAACTTAAACGAAACCTGCTATGACAATATCCATGTCAATTCTGTTACTACTGGAAAGCACAGAGCAGGTGGGGATAGTGGTTACATTCTGGAGACAATTCAAAGCAGACTTTTCAGGACTCCTTTCTCAGAAATCACACTATTTGCAGGCCAATGAAATGCAGAGTGGGGAGTTACTCAACAGTTCCCCGAGACAAAAAACATAGGCTAGGCAGCCAAATCCATTCCTTCCCGCAGAGGCAGAGCCCACAGACAGGTCTTGTCCTTACCTCCTCCAACCGTGCCTGACTCCGGACTTTTATTAACTCCTCCTCTGCCTGGCCTCGCTCAGTGAGTGCAGCTGCTTTGACTTGGCTCAGCTCCTGCCACAGAAACATGAAAGATCATTCCAGATAGAGAAGCTGCATCACTGCAACACTGACCAGAAAACATTAGCAGCTTCCAGTCGCAGGCTACAACGTGACACAGCTGTCTCTCTCACTCAGGGGCAGGGAAAACAAACACAGATTACATACCTTTTCTCACCCCAAGATTGCCATCTAAATTCAATGAGAATTTCAGTTATATGAGGGCAAGTAATGGGTGCAGCTCTCCAAAGACAGGGGAATAGGAGAGTGCAGTGCTGGATCTAGCTGGGGGAACAGATAAGGAGAAATATGCTACACTATTTGGGACCACATGGGAAACCTGTGAAGTCAAATCCTGGTAAGAATCTAACCACGTTCAATGGAAACTTTATTTTTGTTCAATCAGAATCTACAAGTTTCTCCCTTGGAACCTTCTCCTTCCTCAGTCCAAAGCAGTAAAAATAATTTCAGCTGGTAAACTGCTGTTTTCTGTTCCTCCCTACAGCACATGACAATCTTTACACAGGTCAGCAACGGAAGACTCCACAAAGCTCCCCTGGCAGCCTTCTGCTGCCACCACTACCCGAGTGTTCCAACACACCTGGAGCATCCATTCTCACCTCCTCCAGAGCTATCCTGATGGCCTCCAGCCTCTGGATCCTGTCCTGCATGGAGCGTTCACTGGCCTCAATGTGCTGTGTCATATGATCCACCTGCAAAGCAGCAGAAACCATTTAAGCAAGTGCCAGAAAACCACTCCTATCTCCAGGCATAGCAGCATGGCCATTCGGCATGAGAAAGAGCATCCTCTCATTGACCCATCTACCACCAAAGAAGAACTCTTACCTCCCTCAGAGCTCCACTAGGAAACTGTAATATAGATAGAATCTGCCCTCTAGAAACTGGGAACTTTAGACAGAGATCCCTTCCAGGCCAAGATGAAAGTTACAGAGTCCGAGCTCTCATCTTCAAGTGGTACGAAACACCAGAGTCATTTTCTAGTTGTAATGAGGCTAAATCTTCCTGGCCTATGTCTTTTCTTACAAGATTTCACAATCTTCGGAAAAACCTATTGGTATATTTTATTTTTGAGAGATTTCACACCTCAATAAACACTCCAAAGAGAGTTGATCACAGCCTCTTGTCCTGTCCACACTCAGACAGAATCCCCCTGAAACATAACAGAGAAGGAACTAGCAAGCTGAGCCCCGTTAAAGGATTGGTTGTATATAGCATGTATGTCTCGATTTCCTCCATTAGTGCATCTTTATTTCAGTGAGCATGACAAGACTGCTTATTCATAACCATCTCTATGCATAGCAAGACTGACACAAGGGCCAGCCTCCAAGCCTCTTTTGTAGAATCATGTACCACTCTGGCCCATACTCTTGCAAGCTACAAAATCTTACTAGCTGGTAGAATGTCTTGTGACCTCTTCAGCTAGGCTTTGCTTGTAGTAATGGCCTATTATTCCCACAGTGGACTCAGTAAGTCTGAGTCCACTGATTTTTAAACTTGTTTAAGAGCAGCTGACGGCAAACAATGACCTCCAGTGGCGCCTGTATGTCAGGACCAAAGAGAGACTAACCTCAGGATGCTGCAGAAACCCCATTCTTACCTCTTTTAACCGAAGGGACTCCATGTCTTCAAGGCTTTGTTTAAATCTTCTCTTCTCCATTTCCAGGCGTTCTGCAGATTAAAAGCAGACATATCACAATTATGGCATTCCTGCTACACAGGCTATATTTACACCCTATCACAAACTCTTCCACCCTTTCTCCTTGGCTGCCTTGCACCACTGGCTCATGCACAGTAACCCCAACCCATAGGTGTCCATGAGCTGCTTCTGCTCCTCCACTCACCTTCAGCCTGCACGGCCCGCAGCTTCAGCTCTGCTGTTGTGTTGGTCAAGTCTTGTTTTACCTGGAATAACTGATCCTGCTGAACTTTGCACTTCTTCTCCAACTCATCCACCTACAAGGAAATTACCACCACAATGGATTTTCCTTCCTATTAGCCGAGAAAGTTGGCTGTACAGAACAATCAGCAGAGACGCAAACAAGGATCAAAGTAGAGGACATACATACAGAGCAGAAGCGAACAATGCCCAAGTCCCGCTTCTCAGCCTTGGACTTGCTTTCCTACCTGGTTTCTTAGAAGCAGATTTTTCTCACTGGCAGCAGACAAGTCACGCAAAAGCTTGCCTTCCCGATCAGCACCTTCCTGCAAACAGAATCAAAATTAAGAGCCTGTACTCACCTTAGTTCTTGCACTGCCAACCTACTCCAACCAACACCACGGCTCCTCTCCACACCTAGCACTCACCTATCTAATTTACACAAGAACTTTTGTCATGGCAGCTGTGGTTAACCCACTAAAAATCACGCTTGCCTATCCCATCCAGCATCCCTCAAACCTACACAAACCAGGTTTGACCTGGAACCCTGCTCTCAAACCTAACTAGGACTTATCCAGCTCACCTGCTTTTGCTGCTGGAGCTCTGTAAAGTGGCGCTCAGCCATGCTGGTTTGTTCCTCTTTTGTGGCATTCAGCAGCTCTCCCAAATTGTGCACTTTCTGCTCAGACAGAGCCAGGGCAGCTTCAGTCATCTGCAGCCTATACAGAGAAACATTTTCCAGAGTCCTTTTTAAGGGAGACACTTCCAGTGAGCTCTCTATGCCATAGTACATAGTACAAGATGTTAACAAGATGTTAACACATATTTGGCAGTGGATGAAATCAGGCTAGCTAAATGAGGCATTTTGTCCCTGGGAAAAGGACACCGCTTATCTCTGTGCCCAGCAGCCTCTGCAAACAGTGAGTGACCTGGGACTTCTCAGAGCCTGGTGTTCTGGTGCCCCATTGTGTTTTCCCTGTGTTGTCTTCCATGAGCTGTTTTCCCTGCCTGGACCCCTCCAGGATTTGCCCACTCTCACAGAACAAATCTGGCTATTTTATACCACTGCAAGGTCGTTGAAAATTAGGGATGGAATTTTAAAGACAGGTAGCAGAAGCAATTTGCGTACTCTGTACGAGGGACATGTCCACACTGAGGCATGACATAATGAAACTACCTTTACCTGACAGAATTGAACGAGCCAGGCTCATCAGTGTTTGAAGTCTAACCACTGTCACGTGCATATGGCTCTACACAATCTAACACTGCTTTTGGGCAGCTCCACCTCATTGTTCCTACGCATACAACTTGCTGGTCAGGTTCCTCCATATATGCAGTGGTTCTCAGAGGATACTGCCAACTGCCAGGGGAAGCAGGTAGAGGTTCTTGCCAGGCTGTAAGCTGTGCAAGGAACGTGCCCCCCTCCCAACCCCACAATCCCTTTTTCTCCTTTTTTCACCGTCTGGAATTCACTTGCTCTTACACCAATGCACTGTAATTTTACTTAAAAACAGGGTAAATATCTAGCGTGGCAAACCCAAAGGCCTGATCTGACTGTAATTTCTGGATATTACTACAGAACTAAGTGAAATAGTAAGCCAGCCACTCTACAAGATTATCCCCCTTCTTAACAGCTCTGCTCAGCACTGCCCATACAGCACAGAACGGTGAGAAGGCTAAGGTTTTCCTCCTCCATACTTGGCTTTCAGTGAATTCATAATGGAGTGCTGCTCATCCAATGCTTCCTGTAGCTGGCTGACTCGTGCTGCAGACATCCTGCATTTGGGGGGAAAGAGAAGAAAGTAAAGAAAAAAAAGGGTGGGTAATTTCTGCCAGGAAATGGAGGGGGCCCAATTCTGCTATCAAAGAGCAGAAAGCACTCAGAAATTCAACTCACCTGCCACTCCTGGCTATTTCTTCTCTCTGCTTGTCTATAGTGTCCATCAAATCCAAGAACTGTGAACAAGGCAAACATCAGTGAGAAAATGAACTGCATCAGCTCGAAGCATTTACAATTCTCATCTTTCTCTTCCTAGTGACAGCTGAAGACAAGTCAAGCCACTCTATTGAAAGCAAGCAAACTGGAGGTCTGACGGGTTCATTAGCACATCTGACTGAGGTCATCAACCATAGGGACTCTGCACCATTAGGTGTCAGAAGGAAAACAGACTCATATTTCTAGGTTTTCACCACTTGGAAAATATCAAACCAGTTGCAAAAGAAGAACCGAAGCACGAATACGGGTGAAAAAAATCACCAAAACTTCTCCAGAATCCAGAGTGAATATGTTCAGCAGGGCACATACCCATACCCATACCGTCATGGATTTGATCCCTGGGCAACCTAGCTCAGGGGAAGGACCCAATTTACTAAACCATGCTGTGTTCCTGCCCATAAAGATGCACACGCAACTTCAGGTGCACAATAATCCTGTCACTGAGTGTTTCATGGGGACACCGAGGGAAAGCATAGGATTCCAGCTGCCCCATTTGAACTGCCAACATGTAAGATTGCTGACCTGCTTGGTCTTCTCATCCTTCAGACTCAAAACCTCCTTGCTGAGTATGTATGCTCGGTTCTGGGTCTCACTCAGGATAGTCTGACGGTCTTGGTTGTGATCCATGGCTTGTTCTGATGCAGAGAGAGCAGGAGAGCATGCACATGTTTCTAAAGCAACAGAATAGCAAGCACTGCTGGAAGAGATAGCACTCGGGATGATGCCTGGCTATCAGAAGCAGGACAGTCCTGCTTCTGCTACTGTAGCCCTTCTCAGGCTGGCCCACGTAGAGAGACCGCTCTCACCTTACAGACATAAGGTGGGGTGGAATCGAAGAGAGCAGTATATATGGGGTAATCAACACCCCAGCCACAGGAGAGCCATTCAACTCCACTGTGGGTAGGACAACAACAAAGGACATGCTGCATTGGCCATATCCAAACTTGGCTACTCAGAGCCAAACTAGAGCCCTAAGTTCTCCCACGTTCACGTGGCATAATCTCTAATTCAATCCAAATTATTTTTTCCTCTTGCTGGTAAAAGTGACACCTCCAACCTGACCAGCCCTCATTAAAAGACAAGAGGAAGCGATGTAGGGCACTGTGTAAATGCCGTTGAGAAAGGGAGGGGAGGAGGGATAGCTCCCTTCTGGAGCAGCAAGTGCCCTATATCCCACAAGTGCTGAAATGGGAAAGGAGTTGCTGATTCTTTCCTGTGCAACAAGTAATACTTACCCACAGCTTTCAGGATATCACTAGGAACGTTGTTCCCAGCCAGCTCCAGCCTCTTCAGGGTCTTGTTGCTGTGCAGGCAGTTCAGCAAAGCTCGGCCACCCAGAAGCCCAATATTATTCCAACGCAAATCTATACAGAAAGCAAACTTTCACCCCGGTAGTCACACATCTGCTGAAAAACACAGCACTCCAGAGAAACCATGCTCCTTATACATCTACAAGCATGGCTAACTAATCCCAGATGGTCTCAGCACAAACACAGGTGAATACTATCTCCCTTTTCAAGATGAATGAGAGGGAAGGAAAATGACAGACAAAGCAGGAAAGGCAAGGATGAATCTTAAGTGCAGTAAAGCGCAGGAAGCCATTACAGTTCAAAAGGTACACAAGTCTGCCCCTCACGTTTTAATCTCGTGAGCCTTCCTTCCACAACCACAATCTGTGGATGAGAAAGAACTGGCACCAAGAGCCACGTTTTCCTGAAGGAAATTCTGGCAGAACTCCTTACAAAGGACAAAGCATGTGTGAAGTAAGTCTCAGAGTCTGGCATGAGGCATGCCAACAGCATCCACAAATGGGAATGAACCCATTCCCTCCTCCACTAAGAACTGTTCTGCTCCAAGCACACAATCTTCATCTGCAGGCTTGGTTCCAGAGATTCCAGTTACAGTTCCCACTCTCCAAAGGCCATGGGGCTGTGACCTCTACTCCCTGCACAAAGCCCGCAAAGCACTCCAGACTGGCAGGAATTGGGGACGCTGACCCACACAATCTTCATCTGCAGGCTTGGTTCCAGAGATTCCAGTTACAGTTCCCACTCTCCAAAGGCCATGGGGCTGTGACCTCTACTCCCTGCACAAAGCCCGCAAAGCACTCCAGACTGGCAGGAATTGGGAACGACGCTGACCAGTTGGCAGAGGTCAGGGCAGGCTGCAATGAACCTGAAGATATATGTGTGCGTGCACGCATATATGTAGGTGGACAAAGAACTAGTCACTCTCACCCAGCTCCTGAAGGCTAGCATTTTGTTTCAGTGCCATGGCCAGCTCTCCGGCCCCTTGATGGTTGATCTGGTTATTGCGCAGATCTAGCCGCTGGAGAAAGTTGTTTGCTCCCAGTCCGTGGCAGAAAAAGGAGAAGCCCTCCTCCCACATGCCAAGGTTGTTCCATTCCAAGATTAGGCTAGGGAAAATGAGACAGGATTGGAGTTCATGGAGTAAACGGACAGTTGCAAGAGCTTGAATGATACCTGGATCATGGTACCCATTTGAACACCCAGCTCCCCTAACACAGACTCATTTTCAGAGAGCAGGATGCTGCTAGGGCCATGCATCCTCAGAAAGGGCACCTCCAGTTCTCACTCCTTCACCTGGCCCATCCCTCACGAGAAATTGCACCACTTGACATTCCTCCAGAGATTCCAGTTACAGTTCCCACTCTCCAAAGGCCATGGGGCTGTGACCTCTACTCCCTGCACAAAGCCCGCAAAGCACTCCAGACTGGCAGGAATTGGGAATGACACTGACCAGTTGGAACATCTGGAACCATCTCTGGAACCAACAAAACACACCCTCAACCCTTTTCTAATGTTGTGCTCCATCTGGCAGGAATAACAGAAAGAGAGGTAGATACAATTTTTTACCTCCTGATGGATTTGTTCTGCCTAAGAAGTTTTCCCAAAGCCTCAGCTCCCATGGTTCGCAGGTTATTTCCCTGAAACAAAAGTCCCAGGTGATCAGTAGGCTATGCCCTGTCCCAATCCAGCTATCCCATCAAACACCACCACGTGCACCCCAGCTGTAATGCCGATTTCAGTCTGTCAAAGATGGGCTGAGTAACATTTGTTTCACACATCAGTCAGCTTGCCAGAAAATGAAAGACCCCGGGAGGAACGGTGGATGCATACACCGTCAGTCTTGTGAGGCATCATGACTGAGAGCTCACAAAAATCACAGGATAGCACAGGATCAGCATGGCCCACGATGGGTCGGAAAATGCTGATTCTAGATAAGCAGAACCCTTTCAACACACTTCATTAAAAAGGGCTCGGCTAGCACCAGCACAGATGAGAAAGGTAGGCGTGATGCAGTTTAGGACTGTAGATTCAAGAGAATAGCTATGTGCCAGAGGAATACAGACAGAAAGTCACTCTCGCAGTAGAGCGATCATCACATCTGAAAGTGCATGCTCAGTTCCAAGCCCCAGGCTAGCTGAAAGACACTGGCGAGCTGGATAAACCCTACAGAAGCGCAAGTCAAACAACTAGTAACTCACTGATTAATACGGAAACCCGAAGAAAAGCCTACGTATGCCTCGTCTGACCAAGCAGCAACTGACAAAAGTTATACAGCAATAACTTCGTATCAAAACAGAGTAACTGAATAAAAACGGACAAAGATGAGCTGCAAAGTAACTTTGTAAAGCCGTGGCATGGTGTTAGGGAGGCAAGGACTGAGTCACTTGAGAACAAGAACTTTGCAGAAGTACGCATCTTGCAGAACAATCCTGCACCAGGAGTGTCTATTTCTAACTCTGATTAAGCTTGTGCTCCTATTTCCTTCCCCACCTCTTTGTCTTAATTTCATTTGAACGGACTCACCTTCAAATCTAAAGATTTGACTGTGGTGTTGGAGCAAAGACCATGCAACAGAAGTTTTACACCTGAGTAGAAAAAAAAAACCAGACAGTTATTTATTTCATATGTGTAACCTTCTGCCTGAGCTGGAAGAGAAAGCACCCTTTCAAACAGCCAGCTCAGAAGACGCGGCTATGATAAAACATACGACTTCGTAAACGGCCACTGCTGCTGGAAAGAACAAGCGTGAACTTTCAGGGCAGGGGATTTTTTTCTATATTCTCAGAGAAAGAGGTGCCTGGGTAGAGAACCGCATGTCACCCTATGTACCTTCCTAATGCAGCTATGAAAATAGCTCACGTCCAGATAGGCCACACAGACAAGACTCTTGCTGGCTTGCTTAACCCCTGCTCACGCAGCAGGGACTGAGTAGAGACTCATCCTACCTCCTACAGCATCCCCACTCAATGCTTGCTAGATTTAACGATCCAGTGATCAGATCCAGCAGATTATCATTGAATCCTCCTGTATCAGCAGCCGCCACCAATCCCGTCTATTCAAGGCCAACAGTAGCAGACGTACTCTCGGAGACGTAGGGAAAACACCTCTGGCGACCGAGGGGTTCGTGACCAGCTTCAAACTACACCGCCACGTCCCCCTCCCGCCGCCGACCAGGCCAGCTCGTCCGTTCGAAACGCGAACTGCTTCTCCTCCAGCCGCCCCG